GTAGTATCAGAGTTTGCTGTCGCATCCTTAACCGGCGTGAGAGCTGGTAAACGCTTGGCTTGGGAAGGGCAAACATCTTGTTTCTCAGACGGTCGGGCTCCTCCCAAAGCAAGCAGAGCATCGGAAGGAGGATTTCCGCGGCTGTCAAGCCCTGAGATGGCTTGGAGGCCGGCTGCCTTCAAGGCGGAGCGGGTCACACGACGGTCAAATTTGTGGTGGCTACCTTCACGAGGAGCTCCACCAACAGTGAAATTCTCAGCCTTGGAAATTCTGTGGTTGATCATGTTGGTGTTGGTGACGTTGGATACGATGTTTTGGTTGGTTATGGTCGGAACCATGTCCCTCCCTGCAGCGTCGTGACTCTACTACAAGGTAGACAGACGGAACCCTCAGGATTGCAACAGTAGGATAAGAGTAGACAAGGACGAACAAAGGGTGTCTCCCGACCAAGGTTCAGAAACTCTTCGCTGTACGTTGTATTCTTTGATGCGAGGCACGGCCTCATGCAAGGGCCATCGCCCCGAAAGCTCAACAATGTTTCTCATCTTGGAACATTCAAGCTGTTCTCTACAGAGTGTTGTTGCGCGGGGTCTACTGGGATAATGAAGTTGCTAAGTCGAGGTTCAGTGAACTGAATGGCAAAAAATGGAGATGCCCGGGATTGAACCGGGGACCTTTCGCATGCGAAGCGAACAGTCTACCACTGACCTACATCCCCACTGTGTGGAAAAGTCAGATTATAAGATAGATGACCGACTAGCTCAGGCTCCACTCACGTACTCAAAATATCACCCTGCTCAGGAGAAGTCACGCTAAATAATCGGAGCCTTCTGTACAGAACAAACAGACGAAAATCTAGATAAGCTCCGCCATTGTGACAAAGCTTATTGTGTTGTCGCTTGAATTTCAATACAACTGTAAACTCTGCACTTCCCTGTCAGGCACTATGCACGAGGAAGCTCAAAATTGATATTCCTACAGAATATCTCCACAAGCCAGGCCATCGGAAAGACTGCTGGAACTCAATATGTGGGGAACAGATTTAGAAAATCCTCCCTGGCAGTATGGCAAACGCAGACTCCATCGTATTGCATACTCGATCAAAACGCCGCTATCCAGATACAGAGGGCATAGTAGTATGAAGCCTTGGACAAATCCATGCAGTCCTGAAAA